AATAAATTTTAAGGTTTTTCTATATATAAGTACTATACACCGGCTTGCTCAGATAACTATTGGTATTGAAAACCGACAAAACCTAAAGACTAACCCGCAAATAACCGATTTGTTCAAATATGAGATTTTACATCAAAAATTTATTAAAAGCACATCTATGAGAGCTAAATATGATATTCCACTCTTTTATATTCAAACGAATATTGGAAATGAAAATATCCGAAATCAGAAGACTTATAACAGATCAAATTTTTTCAACAGCGTCGAATTTGCTGTTTTTCACATATAAATACAAATAAATATTGACCCTGAAAACAATCGCAATTGATACATTGATATGTTCATGAAAGCTAACCGAAGACTACACTTCTTTCTTGCTTTTAGTTCAAATTTACACATTTTATTCTTTTCTCTATTATATTTACGCCTTGCTTTTAAATATAATATAATATAAATAACAGTCATTAATATGTAAGACGCAACTTCGTTTTAATTTTGTTCAAAATATTTACAAGTGGGAAACATTTGTCCCCCTCTTACTCGGCGGTGGTTTTTGAACGCCTTCTTCTACTAAGTTCGCCTTTATAGGCTTATGATAATTTCTGGTCATTTTATTTATATATGCCCAGCACGTTTTTAGTTCAGTTCATGCGAAGCTGTTTTAAAACGGGTCAAACGAGACAAGCAAAAAAAAAAGAGGAGACGAAATCAATTAAAATAAAGGCTTCTTTGACCAAGTTTGGTCTACTTCGCACAGCGGGAATTCCTTTGCTGCTTAATTGCAATGACTTTAAGTTTGAATGCGTAACTTGAAAATAAAAAACGCACAATTTTATCCATAAGCAAAATAAAATTCAGCACCGTTAATTTTGTACATTGCCTTACAATACCGTCTCTTCACTTATCTGCCTCTAATCATCATTTCAGCAAGACTTTAATTGTGAAACGTTCAGCAGGTAATTAAAATTCAAGTTATCGGCTCTTCATGCTTGGATTTATGCATTTCTCTCGATGATTATGCATTTTAACAGCACTTGCGCGAGCAAGCATAGTTAGTGAAAGTGTTTTTTTGTGAAGCCCTTTCTACAGTTTTCATTTTTTTAATTTCTTCGCTGTATTTATGTTTTTTTTGTGTTTTGGCTATTCAAATCTTCTTCCTACTGACTTTGTTGCATGATACCATTGCGGGAGAAATTATATTGCAAAGTTGTACAGTCTTTTTTTTTAATATTTTCACACACTCTGATGAAAGTCATTGTCAGTAGAGTCTTTTTGGAGAGTACCTCTGAATCACATATATGTATATATATGTAATTTAAATGTATTTTATATCAACAATGAAGAGCGCTTTAATTCCAAAACAATCAATAATTTCTAGTCAGATATATTTATTTACATATATAAATTTAAATGCAATATTAATATTTAATTCAAGGCTAAAAAAGCTATATTTTTGTTGAGTATAAGTTGAATTGTGTCTTAAATCTGTCCAAAATATGGTGATAAAGGTATAAAAAAATAAAGAAATTTTCTTAAAACTACTGTGCAAAAAAAAGAATAAGATTTAAGGAAGGGATGCCGCTAACTACTAAAGCTCTAGATACCCGGACATCGAACAGTATGAACAGCGCGACACAGGCTGGATACTTGTTCGTTGCTCCCCTGCTTAAATGATAGTTTTTTTTTTATTTTGTTTGTCAAAATTTCTTTATTATTTCACTCTTTTTTAAATTTTCCATAAATAGAATTAAAATTATAGGAAAAAAATCTTCTAATAAAAAAGTCAAATTTTTTATTCAAATGGCTCGAAAATGTTTGAATCAATCAACCCAACACTCGTTGCTCAAATGCTCAAGTTGCTCGAAAATGTTCGAATGAAATCTTAAGCTCTGTCTTTTTTCTTTGCTACGCATGATTGCGTACTCAACTATATAACATGTAATAATATTAATATTAGCAACTCAATTGCAACAATAATTTATATCATCAAATCAAAACACTTTATAACTATGAGAAATTTTATCGGCAATATTAGCAGTTGAATCTAACTTATGTTAATGTTAATGTTGTGCACCTTTTTATTTTGCCATGCCTAACACCGTGTTATAGTCTTCTCCTCTGAATCAGTATGAGTTTGTCTGCCATCTCGCGCATACGCCTAATGATAAGGCTTTACAATTCCTCTCTTAAATCTTTCCCACTTTCGGTGGACATCTGCCCTTAAAAGTTACTAGACTCAGGTGTTCCTTGACCAATTCACTTGATTTTCCTGGCGTAATTGTAGTCCTTGCTCCGGAAAAACTAGATGCCTTAGATATAGAGAAGAGGCTTAGAAATTAATATATAAAAATATTAAACTTTAAAAGAGAAAATGTTTTAGTTGTTTTCCTTCTAAGCAATAAAGTAATCAGTAAATGTGAAGAAAGAAAGAGTTATTTAAAAAAAAAAAAAACTCTTCAAAACTGTTACGGCAATAAAATCTGCATTAAGTCCATTGTAGAGATTATGTAAATAATTTAAAGAGATTTTTACACGCGCAGCATGTTGGGGGTCTTGATGAATGCATTGCTTTGTTGAATGAAAGTAAATTATGAATTATGACAATCAGCATGTGGTTATGGAAGAGATAATATTGTTATTTAATAATTTAAATTTAATTTTTGTTTTATTGTAACAGACTCTTCGCACATTTTAAAATATCTATTGTATTTTATTATTGTATGAAAAAAAAAACGCTGGAGATGAAAAGCAAATTATATATAAATATTCGTATTATGAATGGTTTTACCGTTACTCGAGCAAAGTTGTTTACTTTTGTTTATTAATATTTGATGAAGACAATTGACAAATAAATATAAAGAGAAAATACTTTTTTTTTTTTAAATCATTATCGAAATACATAAAGGAAATATTCTGAATGACTGACGGATCAACCCACAGTCTGAACCACTGAACGTAGGCATCTGTAAAATCGAATCCTTAAATTGTTGGATTTACATAGTCAGTTTTTTACCTAAGAAACCTAACCTAAGTAACCATGACACATGAAAATCGTTTCATTGGGCCCAAATTAATGTGAGAAATACGTAATCTTTTGGCAAGTAGGATCAATCCGAGAGATCTATTCGAAAAAATATATCTATGGCTCGATTACATGACATTCGGTGCATTATCATTGCAAACACTTTTACTTCATGGAAGTGGACCTAGAACTCGATGGTTCAGTTTTGCTTAACGAATATGTTAAAAAATTATAGGAGGTCCTTCACTAATGTTAATATATGGAAGATTTTAACACGCGGAGCATGGACATGGTAGCGATCTATTCGAAAAATTGTTTAGCTCGATTTTAATTCGATTCGCTTAATATTATATTTGGAACATAGGCAGGCCTTGGCCTAAATTAATATATAAATAAGTTTCCTCTCCCGTATTTGGACCGATTTAATTGCAAAAATCGTATTTTTGGTTCGATTTATTTCAGTGGGCAGGGAAATTTTCATTCCTGTGCCGATCAATCTAAATTAATTCTATTTATAGTTCGTTTTGCTTTATTTTTCATATGCTTTAAGACTTTACTTAAAATAATATAAATATTAAAAAAAATGATAAAAATCTTATTAGAGCAATTTACAAATTCCATTCGAACGAAGACGCCTGCGAACTGTAGCTAAAAAAAAATTGTCAAAATTTCAATAATTTGTGAACTCACCTATTTCATGACATTTGTACCAAAATTTAATTTTTGCTTTGGCTTGCCTCCTTTTTTTCCCTCTCTACTATTTGTACCAAATTACACATGCACATACATATTTCAGAAGTAAATACAATAGCAACCTCACATTGACAAACGACCAACTGTTCAAAGTGACATTTCTTTAGTTCATGAGAAAAGGTAAAACAAGAAATGCATTCAGCCCATAACTTGGGCACGTTACGAACGAATTTAACAATCAAAATTTACATAATGTCAAATGCTTCAACGTTCATACAAATTAGGTTATATGTACATACATAAATATATACATATGTACGTAAAAGTTGTGGAAACAAATCACTTTTAGTGTGATAGATAGGCAGTCAGTGTCCACGAAAGAAATAAAAGTAAAAACATACATATATACATATTTAAACGGAATATATTTAAATGTAATGTAGACTTTTTAGGCCACGGAAACAAGGTCAACTGCAGAGACATGTTTTTAATGTAGTAGATAATTGTAATTTATTTCAAGTAACAAATTTGTTTGCCTTTTAATTTAAATTTGTTGCTTTGTTTTTAAAATTTTGCTTATTTTTAACTGTTGTTTTGATTTATTCTTTTATTAGATTGTCTTACTTTATTATTATTATTGTTATTATTATTATTATTTTTTTTTCTTAGTTAATAAATGTTACAAATTTATGTTTCTAATTTAGCACTTATTTTCCTGCCATATTTACTGATTTTTGATTTTTGTTTTAATTTTCTTGCTTAAGACTGGTAAAATGCCTTTTATGCACACATTTTTTTTTACTTCAGCCATTTTTTTTATGTTACAGGCGTTTGTGTGAGTTGATGTAAGTATTTCTTAGAGAAAAGCAGGGGTGGAGAGAAGGATGAGTAGGATTCTGGAATTCCGCACCAAAATGTCTACAGTGCAATTTTGAGCTGCTAAATTTAAACGTACCGTAGAACTTATTCGGAGCTAGACGACCGCCAAGTTAAAGTAAGAAATGTAGAAGAGATTGTAAACATATCAAAAGAACGTTTTGTTACATACTAATTCAATATTTAGATACCGTTTGGTGCTCTGTTTGTTCATTTTATCCCCGGAACGTTTTCGAATTAATATTCCCATCGTTCTGTTAACACCGTTAAACCAAGTTTAAACTTAGACGGAACTTGGATACACCACCATAAGACCTAAACATAAATTCAATTCCTGAAATACATATACTAAACGTCATTACTTGACAATCTGAGAGCATAGCTAACGGAAAAACGGTCTCATTTGCAGAAAAAGGAAATCCTATTTCATCAGGACAATCACATCTCAGCGCTAACCACGTCGAAAATTTACGAACTGAGTCTTTAACTGCTTGTTTATCCGCTTTCTTAAAAAATCCAGCCCCAAGAAACTACCTTTCCTTCCCTCATCTAAAAATTGCACTCCGTCAACAGCCACCGTCGTGAGCAGTTATATTGCAGAAAAAATGGCTTGTACTTTATGGGAGCATCGCTGGAAGCAGAGTGTTGAATTTCAAAGAGGTAATGTGAAGAGATAACCAATTTCAGTCAAAATGTCTTGCATTTTTGTTAGGTTAAAAACTTTTCAGGCAACCCTGACATCATTTCTATATGCTTAATTATTTAGAAACTTTGACCCTTCTAATCGTTTATCTTGCAAAATTTCTAAGCTTTTGTTAAATTTAGGTCAAGTTCTTACACACTTACTTTAACATTTGGAACTACTTATAACACCACCGTACATCGAGCAAACAATTATTTTTAAATTCTTTCTTTCTGTTTTTTTTTTTTTAATTTTCTTACATGGCTCTTTTGACAAAAAAAAATATTTCGACACAGTAATAACAAATAAAAAACCCTTAAAACCATTTTGAATTGCATTAAGCAAAAAAAAAGAATATTTATTTCAAAAAAGCAAACAAATTTAAGGCACAATACTGAAAAGAGCATAAAAAACATGCATTTACCGTTATCTGACAACATAAATAGGATCTACATACACAAAAAAAAGCGGAGTAGATAGAGATTCCAAAATAACCGCACTTGTTTGCAATTGTCTTACAATTATGACACTCAATCGCCCTTTGCTTTCACACACTTGCCGTAAAACGTCACCTGTTGCCTTTGCACTAAAAACAATTGGAAGCACCGTTATGCGGTGTCGTTATCAGCTGATACTAGCTGTAGGAAATGTAGGTTAGGTATTTAAATTTGTTTGCTTTTTTATTGTTTCTTTTGTTTTCTTTTTTTGTGTCACCATAGTTATTACATTTGGTTTATTGTTGTCTGTTTTTAATGCGTTTTACGATATTTTTGTTTATATTTTTAATGCTGCCAACACTTAATTGCTTTTTCATTGCATTAATTGATGATTATTTCATTTTGTCTAAACGGATTTTGCTTGTTTTAATTCTATGATTCGTGATACTATTAAAAATCAATTAAGCCTCTGCTACTAACGGTGAGAAAAGATATTTTACTGGCAGTATAACGGTAATTTTTTATTACTATATATTGCGTGATGCCCGGTTTTCATTATAAGCATTTTTAAGCATCTACACACGCATAAATCGAAAGAAATACTGAGTGTGAAATTTATGGCCTACCATTTATTCTATGAGTATATTACAATAAGAACACTTTGGAAGCTGAACTGCAATTAAAATGGTAGATATATAAGCTAGTTAACGGGCGTATTTTTATATTTGTTATACTTTTTATAGGTCCAGTTCGTAATTTTTGTGTTAATAAAATTTAAAAGCAAATAATTTATTGACTTGATAATTACTTTTATAACTTTTCTGGTTTAGAGATACTTATTGATGAATTATAAATTTAGAATTCACTCAAAAAATTTTGAAGTACTAATGGCTTAAATATTTGGCACTTTGTAAACGCCGAAGCGATTTTCGTCCGAGCCCATTTGTGGTTTTGCGTCTTGATGTTTTTCCAACAAATTTTGGGACCTACAGTTTATACCAGGCCGCCTCCGAACGGCTAATGGTTTTTTAAGAGGAGCCTTTATTTTATGTTCGAAAAACTCTCGGAGGGGTGGACATTTTCTGCCGCGGGGTGACCGCAATTAGAAAATTTTACTTAATTTTTTATTTAAAGTAATTTTCCACAACTTTTTTGAAGTTGACGACACCAGGATTTGAATCCGAGCTCTCCGTATGTCCGTACACAATGCTAACCACTCAGCTACCGCAGCCGCCCGCTTAAGCCTTTTGAAAATTATAGGCCACAGGATATCTTTCCATATATTTTCTTACGACTTCAAAAAGAGTAAAAAACAAATGAAGTTTTAAGTAAAAGATTCCAAGATTGGCGTATTTATGAAATGAAATAACGGCCACTCATAAAAAACCGTTAGCAGCTTAAAACTTTATGGCTCCCCATTTGTTAGTAAAACATCAAGAAGCATTCCACAATCGGTCAAAAATCACTTCAGCGGTTACGAGGCACCAATTATATACATATATATACATATTTAAAAATTAAAAATTGGAAAAGATTTGTTCAAACTATAACCTCATCCAATTGAATTCGTGATGAAAGATTGCATTGTTTTTCATTAAAAAAAAAATTAAGCTACTGACACTTCAAGTGCAATCAGCGCTGAGAGTAATTGATTTTGAGCAAAATATTTTCAAGTTCAACTACCGAAAAGTTCAATGCATTCGCCGAATTGGCAATAAAAAACAGACAAAATTATTAAATTTTCAATTATGGTAAGCAAAAAAAATATCTTATGCGACAAAGAAATGTACGCTTCAATATAAATTTTTTTCTTTTGTGTATCAACAACTGCAATTAACAGAAATAATAATAAAGTATTTGGACAAGTTAAAATTATATAAATAATCAGATAAAACACCGTGTCAACACTATAACATGGTATGAGCAATAAAGTCTATATACATATGTATGTATGTATATGTAAATTACTTGAGAAATGTACAAATGTGTGCAAAATATCAAGCGAGTAGTTAAGTGAATATTCCACCATACATACAGACATACGCTGGTCACAATCGGATGCCATGTCACCATGTCACCATGTTTGTCATACGTAGACATCAAAAGTGACATGATATAATGAAACAATAAGCATATTCACAACAATAACACTGGACATCATCATCGGTGTAGTTAGACAGACAATAGAAGCGCCGGTGTTTTTGACAGTTCAACGTACGCTAAATGACAGATCATAAGCTGAGATATCAATATTTCACAGGTAGCAAGCAAGCAAGCGAAATAACTTGTGATTTCAACTTATTATTGTAGTTATGCATTTAATTGGACGCGATTAGAGATTGCTTATTGTTACAGAAATCAAATAGTTTTGTAATTCTTTGCGAATAAGGAAACAGAATTTTGTAAAATTAAAAAATTAATTAATATATTCAGTAATAATTTTTGAACAAATAATAATAGTCACATTAACACCAACCTAATATTGAAAAGTAAAAATCATATTGCTGAACACATTCACATAAAAACTTTAAGCTTCCAGTTGGTGTGAGTTCGCCAATCAGGGACGTAAGAAGGCAGTCTGGTAACTTGATTTGAAAGCATTGCCTATTTTCGAAAGCACTATATATTAGAAATATACTGCAAAAATTTGAGAACGAAATTAAAAAATTCACTTTTCTCGAAACAATGTTCCTACGGTCGCCCGGAAATGTGTGAGTATGAAGAGCTCAAGTAGTTGACCGGCAGGTGTATTGCTGCAAAATTCTAAAAAAGGAAGATTTCAAGACTGGAGCAAACTCTTGTGGGACCCATAGGGATGATCTAGTGACGGATGCCCAGAGTATAATGAATTTATGGAGGGAACACTTCTTCAAACATGGCAGTAAAGAGCTGACAAATTGATTTACCTACAAAAGTCGTTTTAAACGTACGAATCGCAGATTCCGCAAAAAAAATATGTGTAAAGTTGCCAAAATATTGAATCAACCAATCAGAAAAGAGTATGTGATGTCTATCAAATGTGTTCATAAAAAAATTAAGTATTTAGGTATAGAGTTGCACTAGTGCTTATTACAGACCAATAAGCCTCACCTATTTTGCCGAGTATTTTTTTTTTAAATTCTGATATTAAAGATGTTTCCTTTTTTCGTCGTAACAAAGTGATTCCAGAACATCAATTTGGTTTTCGTGAAAAGATGATACCACCATGTTCTGCACAAGTTAACCGAATTATTATATATAGAACATATTCAAGTTCAAGTAGAGTTGCTGTGCAATATTTCTTGATGTCCGCTTGTCTTCACAAAAATTGGCATAAAGTCCTATACTTTTGAAACTTTGCCTACCCAATACTTCGATATATTTATAGTCATATCATAACAGGCGACTTAATTACCCCTAAAGCAGTCGGAATTTATCACTGAAGGAACCATTTTTTGGCCTATATTATACAGACATCTCAGTAAATCGAAAACATCCCAAGTCGTTAGCTAACGTTTTGTGCAACTTATCCGGAAAATACCACTACAACCAAGGGATGTTCAGCACCATAGTTCAAAAAGAGCCAGAGTTAACTCGAGCCAGCCCGTTTTTAGTTTAGCTTTTGATGTGTCTCGTACGCTACTGCTACTTCATTTGAGCAGATTCTAAATTATTACATACTAAAAACTAATTAATATATTTAATCATTAATATTAATTATAAGCGTTGAAGGCGAACTGTCTTTTTTTTTGGCAAAAACGAATGAATAATCAATATTTTAATTTATTATTTAAAATTAATATTTTGTATAAAAAACCGATTAAGTTAATGGCTTAGTCACAACTAAATTTTAGAAGATGGCAGGAAGTCAATGCTTTAAAATTGAAATAAAACATATAATAATCAATATAATAAGCATTTAAGGATGGGTAATTGCGAGTGGAACCGAGCGTTCAATACTTGGCTAATCTAGATCGGTCAAAAAAAGCAGGTCTGTTATAAGGGAGGTATTTTTGAAGAATTTCAGTCCCCAATAAAAGTATCATACCTTCCTAATTTGGTTGAGTTCTGTTAACTAATGCATCGAATTGTATATTTAGATTTGTTTTAGTGATTGGAGTATTGTGGTTTTTGTACTTTTCAAAATTACCGCAATATGAAAGGTATGCATAAGCTGAGCCGATATCACCTATTTGCAATAGCCCCAAAGAATATGTGAACTAAGCTTCAACGTAATATCTCTATCTGAATTAGAGTTACACGGAGGGAAGCACAGAAAGGCATGGTTAAATCGATTCATCTCGTTACTAACAAAAATCCATATCTTTCGTAAGTATCTTATGCCATTTCCACAACCGTTAGATGAACCAACCTGCAAGCCGGGTATAATAAACTTTATGCAATTTTATGACACCAAGGATGATAATGAATATTGTCGAAATATAAAATGTGAAATATCTTACATAGTAAATTGTTTATATAGACTAACAAATTTAAAGAGTATATTAAATTTTCAATTTTATTCTAAATAAAACATATAAAATTTATAAATTTTATTTAAT